CAACGGCAAAGGCGGCCGTCGTCCTCAACATGAGCGGGCATGGCAGCGTGCGTTTTTCGAAGGCCGCTCCCCACAACGTCCTGCTGAACAACATGGCCATGGCGGACGCGACCAAGCCCGTCGTAGTCAATGCGCCCGAACGCCCGGGCTTGACGAGCAGCGCCTCGGGGTCGTCTGGCGACTCGATGGACGAGACGACGTCGCCTGGCGAGCCCACGACGACCACTAGTAGCCGCGACCAAGTGGCGCCTCTGCGCGAGCCCCAGTACTCGTGGAACAGCAACGCCAGCTCCTCGCGCTCTCGCGGGCCTGCCATCATGACGGACCTGCCGCCGCAGACGCCCAACGGGGGCAGCGCGCCCACCTCGACCACCAGAGCCGCCCGCCCAACACCTGGCCGCACCATCAGCAGCGCATACGCACCCGCCCGCCGCCCGCAGCAGTTCTCGCTGAACTCATCGGCCCACCGCCCGCGCAACAACTCGGCCACGCGCAGCCGCCGCAACCCCAACGCCGAGTACCGCGCCCAGGAAAAGGCCTACGTCCAGCGCATCCGCCAGGAGGACCAGCAGGACGACTTCTTCGACCCGGCCCTGCGCACCCCGAGCCTGGGCTACAGCACCGACTCCGAGACGGACGACGAGTCCCCCTCGACCGCCGAGTATGTCGAGAACGACCCCTACGACCAGGAGACGCTGCTCTACTATGGCAACGACGACATGCAGCCCTCGATCGAGGAGCTCAAGATCCCCGCCAACCGCGAGCGCCTCGAGTGGCACAGCATGCTCGCCAGCGTCCTCACGGGTGATGTCGTCAAGCAGGAGAAGAAGCGCCTCATCGGTAGCACCGAGCAGCAGGGCGACAGCACCATGAAGGCCGAGATCTGGATGGGCATCCGCGCCAAGGTCTGCGGCCGCTCGCTGCAGGCCCAGCGCCGCATCGTCGACGACACCCGCAGCAAGATCCGCGCCAACCTCGAGAGCATCATCTCGTTCGAAGTCGGCGGCGAGGCTGAGGCTGGTCAGACGGCTGCCCAGCAGGTCGAGGACATTGTCAAGAAGATCGAAAAGGTCGAGAGCGTCTACCCCACGCGCCAGGCCCTCGAAGCCGCCTATCCCCGCGCCGCCTCGCAGCCCTACAAGGACGCCTGCGACGCCGTCATTGCCTGGCACAACACCATCGCCCTCATCAACACCGAAATGTCCATCCTTAAGAAATGGGTCGGCAACGAGGAGCTCGACTTCACCAAGCCCCGCCCGCGCTCGTCCCAGGACCACCATCTCACCGATGACTCTTCGTTTATTGACCGGATACTCAAGGAAGATGGCCTCAAGTCCCTACAGGGCGACACCAACCTGCTGGCCCCGCTCGAGAAGGTCATCCAGAAGGCCAAGGCCACCCTCATCGCCAACGCCGAAGGCTTCGCCGAGAGACATCTTCCGCCCTACATCGAAGAGCTGCTCACTCTCATCAACTTCCCCTCGCGTCTTCTCCAGGAGATCATCCGCGTCCGCCTCTCGTACGCTAAGAAGATCAAGGACCCGTCACAACAGGGCGTCATGATGGCCGAGCAGATGATTGCGCAGTTCCAGATCCTGCTTGCCATGGCTGGCCAGGTCAAGGAGAGCTACATGGTCATCTCCCGGCCGGAGCCTGGCTGGGATCTGCCTCCGTGCATTGAGGAGAACTTCGACACCGTCGTGCTAGACGCGCTGAAGTTCTACTTCAAGATGCTGAACTGGAAGTTGGCCGCCAACAAGAACACGTTCAAGGAGGCCGAAATCCTCGAACAGGAGTGGGACTTTTGCAACAAACTTGGCCGACAACTCCAGGGCGGCGACGTCGAGACTGCGGAACAGTTCAGTGTGCTTACGTCCAAGTCGCTCACCCGTCTCAGCGCTCACTTTGAACGAGAGCTGCAGCGTCGGCCAGACGAGCTCACCGGTTCTGAGATGGAGAAGCGGTACAAGCAGATACTAGACTCTGTTCGTGTCCGACAGCGTAAGCTGTTCCGTTTCTCCAGGATTCTCACACAGCGCTTCGAGAACTGCACCGAGTTCAACATCAACAACATCGACCTGGACGAGGAGCAGCTCCAGGAACTGTACGAAGCTCTCGTCGCCACTGGCCATTTCCTCGTCGAGACCACTGGGGGAAACAACACTGGCATATACATCGTTGCATCACCGACGGCACTCGACCGACCGAACGATATACAGTCGCTTCTCACAACCTGCTACCACGCGGAAGAAGCTCCCGAGGATCCCTCCAACCCATACGTCTTGATCATCCGACCAGAACAGCCCCTGTACTGGCCCGGCAAGAAGATGTCAGCCAACATCATCGAGCCCCATCTCGACCTTAAGCCTGGTCGGTTGAGGCTCGTCGCGGATGGCTCGCAACAACGCCTCGCAAACGCGAACCTATCATTCCTCTCATCAATAGGCATGGAGCTCACCACCCTGATTGATCAGCGCGCCAATCTTCCCCGTGTCAACGCAGAACTGCAGAAGATCAAGAAGACGGCATACAAACTGTCCAACACCATCATGGACAGTGTAGAGATTGTTCGCAGGCAGACAGTTGGTCTCGACTGCCAGGATCTCATCCAGACTTGTTTCGCTTTCGCGACAGAATTCGGTCAACGTTCCGTCCTTTACATGGACTACAACCGGAGGGCAATGAACAACATCAAGCTAACCAGGCTGGCACTTGACTGGGTCAGTTTCATCTGCGACGACTGCATTGCTTCGGACCGAAAGACATTCCGATGGGCTGTGGTTGCTCTAGAGTTTGCCATGATGATGACCCGCGGTCAGAACATTCTTTCCATCAGCGACGAGGAATACTCACAGCTGCGACTGAAGGTAGCTGGCTGCATGTCTGTCCTCATCTCCCACTTCGACATCATGGGCGCGAGGTCGACCATCGCAGCTCAAGCCGAGCGACAACGCCTCAACGCTATTGCCGGAAAGAGCCTGCTTGATCCGAAGAACGCAAAGGATGACGATGAGTCTATTGAGATGACTCAACAACAGTGGATGCAAAGGCTCGAAGAGATTGACACGTTCCGCAAAGACAAGGAAGCCGAACGCCAGGCTCTCGGTCGGGTGCTGGAGGACTCTAATGAAGCCGACCGAGCGCTGACCTACCTGTCTTCGTCTGCGACAAACGTCACACTCCGATGGCAACAGGGCCAGTTTGTCGGCGGAGGTACATTTGGATCCGTCTACGCAGCTATGAACCTCGACTCCAACCACCTCATGGCCGTCAAAGAAATTCGTCTCCAAGATCCACAGCTCATTCCTACGATTGTCGCTCAGATCAGAGACGAGATGGGTGTCCTTCAAGTGCTCGATCATCCCAACATTGTGTCTTACTACGGTATCGAACCACATCGCGACAAGGTGTACATCTTCATGGAATACTGCTCTGGTGGTTCGCTTGCCGGACTGCTTGAACATGGACGTATCGAAGACGAGACCGTCATAATGGTTTACGCGCTTCAGATGTTGGAGGGTCTCGCCTACCTACACGACGCCGGTGTTGTGCATCGCGACATCAAGCCCGAGAGTAAATTTGCTCCTGATCCTATCATGATTCACCCTTGCTAACCAAACCCAGACATCTTGCTCGACCACAACGGAGTCATCAAGTTCGTCGACTTCGGCGCCGCCAAACTCATCGCTCGCCAAGGTCGAACCCTCGCTGCAGAACACAACGCTACACGCCAGGGCCGCCAACGCTCTATGACCGGAACCCCGATGTACATGTCCCCTGAAGTCATTCGAGGTGGAAGCACAGGTCGTCACGGCGCTGTCGATATATGGTCACTGGGCTGCGTGATTCTGGAGATGGCTACAGGTCGCCGCCCTTGGGCTTCCATGGACAACGAATGGGCCATCATGTACCACATTGCCCAGGGTGACCCACCGCAGCTACCATCCAAGGAGCAACTCAGCGACACTGGTATCGACTTCCTCAAGAAATGTTTCGACCGCGACCCGAACAAGCGAGCCAGTGCGGTCGAGCTGCTCCAGCACGAATGGATCATGACGCTCCGCGCCCAGCTCAGCCTGGAACCAGCGACGCCCAGTGATAGCAACTCTAGCAGCGGAACACCACAAAGTAGTAGGCAAAACTCCACCTACAACTAATCCTTGACGCCCTCATCAGCATGTTTCGTCATGAATCTTGATGATGTTGGCTGATAGTGCATAGTGGCTCGCCGCCTTTCCATACACAGGGCCAGTCTCGATTCTGGTCAAAGCCTTCTACCCTCTCCAGATGCCGTCTCTGCAGGTTCCGGTGTTAGTCCCTTCACTATACCACCTGGCTCCTCGTTTACTGGCGCTTCACCTTTCCGACAATTCAACTTCTCTGAACCATAAGCAGTGCTTACCTACACTTCATCTTGCACCCCGAAATTTTGGTGACACGAAGATTGCAAACATTATTATTTCCGCTTCTGCCTGTACTCCTCCACTTCCCGCTAGCGTCTCTTGGGAAGTATGGATAGGGTGTTTACATGGGTCCATCTCCCATTTTTGTTTCTTTTGTCAGGCGCGTCTTCTTACGTATGACCGCTGTCGGTTGGGCATTCTGTTGTAGGTGTTTCTGCATTAGCGAGGGCGTTTCTCCGTATCATTATGGATATAGGCTTTACTTTTGGTTATCGTCCTTATACATGATGCTTGCCTTGGTGGTTCGGGCGAGCAACATTTTCTCTTATTGTCTAATCGTCGAGATGATGAAGGCGATGCGGTATATACTAAGCAACGATTGCCCTGCGTGGCTTATACATCCTTTGAACACATGCATACATGCTGCTATTCCTTTTAAGTGATAAATGTCAAACTCATCACATCGTACCGTATGTAAGTTGAGTAGCATATAATTATCACAACTGCGATCGATGCATAGATCTACTGTAAGCGGAGTGCGTAAGTGAAAAACAAGAACACGTTCCACACTCGCCCTCCTCGTCATTCTCTTTCCCCCTAAACCATCCACTCCCTCAGCACCTCATCCTCCACGTCCCTAACCAAAACATGCACATGTTCCAAACTCCTCACACTCTGCAAATCCGTCGTATTCTTGAACCAAATAACCTTACTCCCCCCCTCTTTCTCCCCCGCCTTATCCCTAAACTCTCTCTTCACGAACTCCTCCACCATCGCCCTCCCCTCCTCACTCAACGCACCCTTCCCATCCACCGGCAACCGCTGCTTCAACCACACAACAACATGCCTGACACCAGACACAAACGCATACGCCCAGTCATTCCTCAGAATCTTGTAATCCGCTGGATCCGCAAAAGGCGTGCTGTTGACTACATCGAATCGCAACGCCCCGCTCTCATCTTCAACTGGTTCCCAGAGAAGGCGCTGGTCGAGCAGATATGTCATTACGCTGCCGTATTTCTGCTTTACGTGTGCGGTCCATGCGAGATATGCTTTCAAGGCGCTGGGCCAGCGTTTGAGCTCTTCGAGATGGTTGGTGCTGATGAGGGTGTGCAGGTTGGACCAGGTGTGTGGTGTGAAGTCTGAGTCGGAGAGGGAGAGCTGCTGCCAATCTATGGCTGTGAGGGCGAATGGGGGGTTGTCGCGGGGAAAGGGCAGGGCGGTTGGGTCGGGGTTGGATTTCCATTGCTGTTGGAAGATGGAGGGGAGGGAGGATTCGTCGATAGTGAAGTTGCGTGACATCTTGTTTATGGGTTGTTTTTGGAATTGTGTACTGCGGGTATATGTGGTATGCGGATGAGAGGTGAGAGAATCTGAAAACTGGGGAGTCGTGATGGTGATACTGAAGCGGTGGCCAAGTTGATTTCGAGGAGAGACAGTTAGCAAACGAGATAAAGTGATCCGAAAGGTAGATTTATTGATCATCTAGGTTATTGGGTCGTGGTATCCATGGATCGAGTACCGGTGTAAATCCGGGCTGGTAGGTGGGTGTACTTGCATATTTCGGCGGAAGCGCTTCCCGATTTGGACTGCTAAGACACATGGCAACACGTGGGCATGTAGTATACATCGATGCCGAGGAGACGTGATGAGGGGGGCAGCAAGATACTTGGAACACATAAAATGCATGAAGAAGGCCTTACATGGGTATCATCATACATGTTCGAATCAAATATAGGCTACTCTACAACTTTTCAAGCAAAATCTTGGCTCCAGCGTTTCCCCGAGGAGCAGCATCAGACTTGTCGCCCTTCTTTTGCTTCTTGCCCTTGGCCTCGCCATTTTGCGCGCCTGGAGGGCTGGCAGCCGCCTCTAGCGCCTTCTTCTCCTTCTTGAGCGCTTTCAGTACTTCGTCTTTCTTGGCAAAACCTTCAGCTTCGGTCATGGATACCACCACGAAGGAGCCTTGACCAGTCGCCCAGTTGAGCAGGTTAGACTTGATCTGAGGCCAGAGCAAGTCTGCAAAGCCGAGAGCAGGCTCTACGGGAACGACCTTCTTGGTGGTAGGGTCGAACTTGCCACCTTGCACCAGCATCTTCAACATGTTCTTGCCGTGACTGGTAGCCTTGTTGTCACCGGCGGAAGCAGGCAACGCAGAATCCAAGATCGATTGTGAGAGACGAGCGACCTCCGTCAATGCCTCCTTGCGCTTCGCTGGTTCCACCTCTGGAGCTCCAACGAGAACCTCGCCCATGAACTGTAGGCCGAATGTAAAGGAGGCAAAGTCAGCAGCGCGGGCGGTAACAGCTGTCAGTAGCTGCGGCTCGATGCTCTTTGCGATTTCCGAGAGACGGATGTTTGGGTCTTTCTTTGATGTTGTCTGGCGAATGACATACAGCTCGTTCAACCGCTCGCGCGTGTTGTCATCCAATAACCATTTCGCATCTGCGGCGAATGGGTATAGTAGGACTGTGCGTGCGCGTGCATCATTGACAAGGTTCAACACCTTCTCGGGAAGGGCGTCGTTGCTGGGTAGGAGCTCGCTGAAGATGGACTTGGAGGAAAGCTTGGTGTCATCCGTGACTGCCATAGCGGCAAGAAGAACGTGATGGGCGTGTTGGTCGAAAGCCATTGTCTCCATCGTGTCCTTGTACGGCCGCAGGAAGAGCTTGCGGTCCTTGGCTGTGCCGTATGCGAAGCAAAGCGACACCAGTCGCGACCCTGATTTTGTGAACGCGAGGTTCTTCATGAGATCTACGTTATCGGCTTCTTCACCCTCTTTGGTCGTTGGGTCTGGCTTCAGGTGCTCGAGGAAGTCGTTCGCTTGTTCGGTACCGGGTTCGCATACGAGGAAGTACTGCAACATGGCGTCGTGAAGCATGGTGAAGCCGGTGAGCTTCTTTTGGATAAGCGAGTTGATCTGGTTCTCAAGGTAGCCCATGATAGGCTTCCTCTTCTCCGGGGATTCTTTCAAGATGGCCGATAACTCTGCGCTGTCGGTGCCCTCGGCAGACAGACCCTTGATAGAGAACTCAGGACCGTACCATTCCCGGAGAAGACGGTTCTTCTGCTCTGGAGTGGCCACGGCCCGGTATATATCGTCTACGATCCATGCGGCTTCGGGGTGGTTGATCATGCGCTTGACGTGGCTGTAGAACTCGGTGATGACGAGGTCGCGAATTTCAGGGTCGCTGCGATCGGTTAGACATGTTATGCCGTGCGTAGACATTGTACTCACCCCTTCTCTACCAACTTGGCGATCAAGAACTTGGAGTACTTGCCCTCGGCCAGGACCTTGAACTCGCCCTTCAGCTCTCTTGCAATCATTCGCCTCTGTTCCATTGTTGAGTATTTGATGGCTGTTTGGATGACACGCACAGAGTCGTGCTTGAAGACGAAGTCCTTGACTCTGCCTGTTATGATCTCGAACAGCTCCTTGACGAGCCCTTTCCTCTCTTCCTTGTCAACATGCGACTTCAGCCTGAGCTTCTCCCATAGCTTCTTGGAGCGTTCGATAATGTCGGCGTTTGGCTTCGCGGCCTTTCGTTCTCTGGCAAGAGCCTTTTGTTTTGCGTGCGCTTCTTTGGAATTGTTTACTAGAGGGACGGTTAGCTAAACTAACAGGCAAGGTACATGGCTCTATCTTACCATTCAACCCCGCCAACTTGGACTCTACGCCCTCACCCTCGGGCTTCTCCGAAGACTCATTGTCGTCTTTGCGCTTTTGTGTCTTGCCGTTGGACTTTGCGGGTTGTTCGTCGCTGCTGTCGGCGTCGCTCATGTCGACATCGGCACCGTCGGCCGCCGAGAATCCGTAGAAGCCATTGTCCTTCTCGCTCGTGTCCGACTCTTCGAAGTCGTCGGAGCTCTCTTCCTTGGCCTTCTTCGCCTTCTTGACCGGCTTAACGTCGCGCTTCTTCTCGCTCTTGGTGGTGGGCTTGTCGACCTTGACCTTTTTGCTCTTGTCCTTGACGTCGGGCGCACTTGCGCCGGTGGATTTGCGTTTGATACCGGCCATTTTGGGAAAGTTGTTGTCGTGTCGCAGTCTTCAAGCTCGAGGTCGCAAAAGTTCGCGACTTCCCGAACTTTTTCTGACAAGCGGGCCGGGGTTCTCTTCTAGCGTGACCCAATTGAGACTAGTACATCGGCGAGCCATGTGCTCCACACGCGCGGTTCACCAACTCTCCGAACGTCGATATCCGAATTCTGGACTTGAAGCTTGATGTCAGTCGAGAAAAGGTGCTATGCTCATCCTTGTGATAGATTGCCAGAATCGCAGTCGCCTGGCCTCTACAAGCTCGAGCCCAGCCATTAGTAGACAGCAATTATCCGGGCCTTCAAACTAATGATTGAATTATTGGTATCTCGATTGAAGCCCCAATGGCTATTATTGAAGTGCTGGTTTGTAGTTTCGGCATGTCCGACAGCTTCGGCCTCTTCTTTCTGTCGACCATTTCTGTACCTTTGCTTCTCACCACACTTACAAATTCTTGAGCTGTTGTGCACCTTGTGTCTTACTTGCTTTCAAGAAGATAATGGCGAGAATTATGAGCACAACAGGGATATCTGGTAGTCAAGCAGTGATCTGAATTGCGCTCCCGTACATACCTAGGTACATAATAGCTGCCCCGTCATTGCACCTAAGTCAAAGAAAGGCACGTTAGATGCTGTACTACATTTGAGACACGTATTACGGTTCTATTATGATCTCATCAATGCGGAACATCTGTAAAAGATTTGGTCGCTTGCTTACTCCAAATCTTGCCTGTTTCGACGAGTGTTGTGCAAAATGATCTCAAGCAAGCTATTAAGTCCAAACGTAAATAAAACATTGTACAGACAAATGAACGTCTCTTGCACGAGGCTTTCAAGGGTTTTGTGTTATGTGCAGCATTTCACAGCAAAAAACAAGGGTTTGGCTAAGGGATACCCCTGAGGTGCCCCAAAACAGCGAAAAAAAAAATATCCTGGAGTATCTGACAATGCCAGACGAATGCTGAACAGAGTGGGACTCGAACCCACGCCACTTTCGTGACCAGGATGCCTCTCGATTTTCATCTTAAGACTTAACGTTAAGAAACCTTAACCTGGCGCCATAACCAGCTCTGTATGGGTCGTTAGAGTGAATGTATTGAAGATGGAGGTGTTTAGACTAACCGGCCATCTGTCCTTCTCTAGGAATTGATGGAAAATCGAGCAAATACATCGTATATAACTTTATGACAACGGGGGTTGAGGGAAAATTCACTGGAGCGATGCGGGGCAGTTGGCTAATATGGACCACACCAATGCCGACCTTGGTCCAAATGCAACCTAACCACTAAAGGAAGAACACCAAAGCAGTCAAGATCGGCATTGCTACCAAGTCTCATCGTTTCGGGAAGAAATCAAACAATCCATTGATGCTTTGCGGTCTATATGGGCGTACTTAAGTAAGACCAGAAATTGATTAAACCCTTAGGCAATCTTGAATTCCAGGTTGTTTAAATCTGAAATCTGTTGGATCATCCTCTGGAACTGTTTGTCGCTTTGCGAGATTGACTGGCCGATGCATGCTTCCAGAAAGGCTTCTCACAACTTGCGGAACAGTGGCAAGGTATACCCCAACTCTATTGAAATGTACACTACATTTCGCATTCCGAAGATCAAGAAGAAGAGCGAGTAGGATTTCACTGCTACACCTCCCACAAGGAACAACCCGGGCACTGGACAGGTGCCCTGCTGTCTACATCGGTGCAAGGCACGAAAGTCAACCAACCCCCAATACAACGTAGACATCTAGCTTCGTTTTCTTCAACATGCGCTCAAATCCACCTCAAATAGAGTGGCTGGACGCAGTGCTGCTGGTTAGTTGGCAGAGCAGGCAATTTTCGGGGCTTCTGTCATCTCTTGGCTCATGCATGTGCGCAAATGCGCATCTGCGCACCGTAATCGACGGTGAACATTCCCTTCCCAAAGCAGTATTTTCGGCATCGGTCCGTCATCCCTCGGTCACATCTTACAATAAGCCCTTGGATTAATCAGTCTGTTGTGATATTTTAGTGTGGTGCATGGGCGGGACGGCCATCGCATCTTCCCCCCGCGATACGCGTACTGCCTGCACATGTCAGCACGGATGCGGCAGCCACATTGCTGCGCCTCGCGTGACTTCACCGCCCAGCTCCACCACCAGCCTCCCCTGCACCAACCCAGCTAGCATGAGCTCCGTGAAGCATACATCCCCGCATTGAGATGGGCGCGCGCAAATGCAGCCATCGCTTGCGGTAGACCGCCATGACGTATTGGCCCATCTCGTCGCCCTC